TGTTGTGGATGCTTTTGTATTGGGTTGTCATAAGAAACAGCAAAATTATTTTTCTCCCTTGAAATCAGATTGTGCTACTCAGATCTAGGGAAAGGAGAAAATGCAAGCAGGGAATGGGAGAAGGGAATCACTTAGAGGTATTGGGAGGAAAAAAAAAACAGAGGTCAGACATGATTTGCAGGGAAAAGCAGTGAAGATTTTAGAAATAAGACACTTCTGGCTGTCACACTGCTTTGGAGTGGGAGCCTGCCAGAAGCCCCCCCAAAAGTTAGTGTGGAAAATGAGGACTACGAAGGCATTGGTGGATTTGGACTCTATAGTTGTGTGAAGCAACCTGCAGAAACTGTTCAGCCTGTCCTTTGCCTAGAAGGAGGTGTTGTCCTTCCCAGTGCCATCTGCCATACTTTCCAGGTGTCACACCACCTCTGTGCTCAGCACAAAATGCAGACAACAGCATGTGGCTCTTTGCCTTGGGGAGAAGTGTGCTGAAAATGAAAACAGCTTGCCAGGTACTGAATTCATTTGGGTGCTGAATTTGTTAAACACAGTTGTCTTCCCCTTTGTCCCAACAGACAAATGCTGTCCAGTTGCATATGCCTGGGGGTGTTGAGGTTGAACGTTTGTTTGGGGTGGTTGGTGGAAGTTACTAGCCCAGTGTAGGAGCAAACTCTCCCAAGCTGGCTTCATCAAGCTCAGTAAGAGGCACTCCGTTGACAGGGCGATTAATGCATCTTCTTAAAGAAAAGCTGGCATGCTGTTGCACCAAGTGCTAAGAGTTTGCACCTGGGCTGTGCACTGCAAAGCTCTGCCAAGAGAAATACTGGTTTCCAAGTTTGTTAGCCTGCTGTTTGAAGGTTTTAATGTATTTGGTTTTGTTTTTTTTTTTTTTTTTTTTTGGAAATCCTCCCACGTTAAATTAAAAAGGAGAACTCGGTAAAGGAAATCAGAATGGATGCTTTGAGATGCTTCATTTGCCAGCAATCTCTGAACTTGTGACCCTTTAAAATAAAGTACTTGAGCTTTCCTGTGGGACAGCTCCCTTGGGGTGGAAGCAAGCATCTTTCAGGCTTTCGTGCCCTTAGGAAGGAGCCTTTGACAGCACAGGAGAAGTTGCAGTGCAGCATTCTTAGCCAGGACTTCCAGTGAGGAAAGTTGTTCAGCTGGTTCAGGGCTGTGATAAATCATGGTTCCCCTGGAGCATGCTGGGACTGCGGAGAGCTGGAATTAAATGCTAGGGAAATGCAGCTTTTGTAGTGGGCTATCTTTCAGGATGATGTATGGCTTTGTAACAAAGAGATTCCTTTGCTAGGGCTGAGAGAAAACCGCTGCATTCCATTGGGGAGGAACATGTAACAATTCTGTTGATGTAAATCCATGTGTCAGGCTTGTCCTGAAAGCTGCGCTTTGGCAGGGACTACCTTAGCCTGAGAAACAAAGTGTGGTTCTAATGGAAAAGAGCCACTGAGAACCCAAGGTGGTGACAATTAGTTTGAGGCTGAAATGGGGTGATAGGTTTGGCAGGAGTGTAGGCAATGGATATCTAGCTGGCCAGCATAATAGTGACTTACCAGTAGTGGCTGGGGAGGGAATCAGATGGCAAAGGAAGCTGTTTGCATCTCTGCCCCTTGACTGCTACGTTGTCTGGAGCAAATAAGTTATCTGGAGGGATAAAATGTCTTCTCTTCAAACTGGAGTCACAGGAGCCTGTGTGTCTGCTTTCTTCCACTGGCCATTCCAAATGAGCTTGGGATGTTTGGCCATTCTGGTAGACATGTTAGCTGGTGGGGATCTGACCGTATTTTAGGTTCTTCTCTGTTCACCATGAGGGCTTGGCTTGCCAAGAAGTTGAGAAGAGCCAAGTTCTGTGTTTGTGTAGCAAACGGAGGCCCTGTCCTAGTTAAAATTTATGTCAGTCTGCATATAGGTTTGTCTGCACTGACTGTGGTTTGTTCCTGAGCTGTTGCTATATTTCTGTACTCTGGGGCTTGGTAGCTCTATTAAGAGACCCAACCAAAAAGCCCGAGCCAGCCTCCCTTGAGGCTGTATCCTATTCCTCTGCTGTAGCCAGGTAACCAGAGGGAGACAGCTTTGTTCCAGGGAGAAGGAGAAGCATCAGAGACCCCCTCCACTTATGCCAGGGCTTTGCTGCTCATAGCAGCTCTTGGCTGGGGTGGTTTGCAGCAGCTGGGGTATGCCCAGTAGCAGGCAAAGGCTTCTTGCTGTTCCTGTGTGCCAGAGCAGGGCCACTGGCAAATGCTGTGGTACTGACTGAGGTGCTGAGATGCAGAACAGAGGAGAAAAGAGCTGCCTCAGAAGCAGTGCCATGTTGTTTCAGGAAACACTCTCCAAATTAATCTTTCATAATTCTCTTGCCACAGATCTGATTGCGGGTTTCTGATATTCAGGCAGAGGGCTGTATTTTGTTTGGTCTTGGCAGTAAAAGTGAGATGATCAGTAAAGCCCATTGGCTTCTCATGCCTAGCATACTTTGATCAGTGATGATGCTAGTGTACCAATGGGATGCAAGCAGCAGCTCAACCTTTGCTTCTTGTCTGACTTAACAGCTTCTGAACTGAACCAGGAATTAATTGGCTCTGGTTTTTGTGTGTTTGGTTTTGGTTTTTAAATTTTTCATCAACCTACACAAGCTTCTTATATAAGTTTTAACAACTCTGTTTGCAACCTGTTTGTTGTCTCTGGAAGACCTGTTCTGCTTGGTCAACTGCTTCATTGTCTGGGTTTATTTTGTTCAAATATCCAAAATGTTAGCTATATGCTGTGAAGCATCAACTTGGTTGGAATACTCCTGGGGTATTTTTTCACTCAAATAAATTCCAGTCTGTTTCTCTGAGCTGTGAATGTCAAGGTATCAGTTTGTTTACCTTAGAAACTCAAAGATTTTTTATGAAATTAAAAACTCTGCAAACTTACATCTGGATAACTGATCCACAAGGGGAAAAATAAACTGGTATTTCTCCACAGAAGTGGCAATGGTAGGCTGGCTCTCAGCTTGAGTTTAGAGCAATGCTTTGTGTATGAGTGCTAACCATGTGTGTGAGGTCCTGCAGGCTGACAACTGTAGCCTTTAAGTTTATACTTTTGAGCTTCAGTCCTTCAGCACTGTCCATCTTATGCAAATTATTGGCTTGGGGACAGTGTAGATGCAGCATCTCAGGATCTGAGCTGCAACTTAGCAAATTCTGTTATGCTAACTAAGGCAGTGCCAGTGATTGTCCTCCTTGTGGGTTTTAATGAAGAGTGAACCCTACTACCTCATAGCCTGGTGAAGTGCTGGGGTTAAACCCCCAGCCCTGAATGAGGGTTGGCATATGGATGATGGCCACAACCAGGCAAGAAAGACCCTTCTGATTGGTTTTCACCCAGGGTCTGGCCAGCCTTGGGTGGGAACTGATTAGGAGATCACCACCATGTGCCCCCACCTTCCACATTGACTTGTGGAAGTAAGCCATCTCTATAAGAGCTGACACTGCTTGCAGTGCAGTTGGGAGCCTTGTCTATATGATGCACGTGCTGTGTGGGGATTCTGGTTGTTGGAAAGGCTCCCTGACTGCATGGCAAGTGGAGCTCCCAGGGTGGCGGGGAGAAAGATGAGTCTCTGTCTTTGGGAAAATTCTACATAATTGGGCTCCTTGTCTGGCTGGTTCCATCTCCCATGGCGTGGTTCCTTGGCGAGCTCATTCCCTTCTTCACCTCCTTCACATTGGGTGAGTGCATCTCCCTCCAGTTGTCTGGCACTTTGGATCTCTAGTGTGTGACACGGTAGCAGAGGGAGGACTTTGGCTGCTGGTTTGCCCATTAATGATAATATCCTTCCTAATATCCTTCCTAGTTGGGCAAGTGGTCAGCAGAAGACCCCGTCAGGAGCCGGATCAGTAACAATGAGCAGTGTGAGGAATCCCAGCTAATCAGCTCATTTTGGGGGATCTTCACAGTGGCTTAATTTAAGTGCTGTCATCTAGCCTCCACTGATATCTATTTGTCTGTACTTTTGAAACTACTGCTGAGTATTACCTTTTTCTGGTCCATGCAGTAATCACCTTTTAGGTGTGATGCAGACCATATTGGAACTGTGTTTTCCTTCCAAAATAAAAACTGAACTAATTGCAGTTTGTTTCTCTCCAGCTGCCTTTTGGGGAGATATCGCTTTAGATGAAGATGATCTGAAGCTGTTTCAAATAGACAGAACTGTTGACTTAACAAAGCACTCAGATGGAAATGCAAGACACACTTCAGGTAAGGGCAGCTCTGGGGTCATGATGCCTTCTTTTCTCTGCTTTTATCCTTAGGGAGGAAGGAGTTGCCTCTGACTTGTGATGCTTTTTTCCCACAGGGAGGGAGGTGCATGCAGAGCTTAGTTGTATGACTGAGGTTGGAATCCAGCTCTGAATTTTGTTAAACAAACACTAAATGGCATTTTGATGTAGCCAGTCCTATCTTGTCCAAGGGCAGAGATTCTCAAATTTACATCACTGGTCTCTTTCTACAAGGAACTGCTTTTCTGCATTTGTGGAAGAGAATACGTTTGAAATGGGGACATTCAGTTTGGTGTTAGTTTTGACTCTTATTATCCTCCCCTCTTTTTCATGTAATGTATGATCTTCTTAGAATAATGCATTTTTTTCAGTTGTCTACCTAGGTAAAATCCACTGCACCCTTGCATACAGACTACCCTTGAAGTGATGTTATAATTGAAATTAAGTTAACAATTGTGTTGATTTTGTGTGAAGCAAATGGATGGGGTGACATCTGCTTATGCTGCCCTGCTACACAGCTCTTGTGTGTGCTCAGTCTTGTGCCAGACCAGAGTTGTTTCTTGGCTCAGGAGCTCTGACTGGACTCCAGCTCTAACAGTTTCTGAAACACTCTGCAACTGGGCTGTGGGGTTTGGAAGGCTCCCTGCAGTGTGTTGTCTCTGCTTTCTGCTGGAAGAGAAAAACTGTTGGAAGTCTGAGCTCTGAGAGATACCAGAGGGACTGGAAGTGGATCAGGTCAGGACAAACTCCTTTTCTTTCTCTGATGTTACACTCTTAGCAAGTACAGCAAGAAGTTAGGTAGAGACAGAAATCACTGGAAGCATATGCTCACCTGACTCTTGTGTGTCTCAGCTCGTATTGTATTATTTGTAAGGACTAGTGGCTGGTTCTGTATCCTTGTGACTGCTTAGTTTTGATTTCAGAGCATCAAAGCACTGTGTAGATCCTGTTCTGGGCATCAGTGCTCCAGCTTCCTCTTGTGATGAGTATGAAAGATGACACATCTGACTTGGAGGCATGCTTTTGATGCCAATGGAACTGATGAAATTCATGCAGATGCTGATTTTCTTATTATTAATTGCTCCCTGGAAATACAGTTGTCCTGCATTGTGTCACTTTGCCCATTCATACAATGTTTTGGGTTGTGGCTCGTTTTCAGGTGAGAGGTGATGAGGAGTAGGTTGCCTTCAGAGCAGAAGGTAAATCAGAAAAGGAGGACTAAGTGGGACAGGCAGCATTCATCTCTTCCAAATACCTTTGTCAGTTCTTGAAGTTAGATGAGGAGACTACTGGGGAAGCAACGCCAGATGATATTTTACTGCATTAGTTTCCTCTGATGTTTTTTTTCAGTTGTATCTACCACATTTCTTTAACTTGGCACTGGTGCCAGACCTGTGCCACCTGCAAATGAACTGAATTTTATAACTCACATTGCTGTAGGCAGTGGTCTTCTATAACCATGGCTCATGTTGTGTGGTTGGACTGGTCTCTTCCTGGTGCCTTTTATTGCCTGAGGCAAAGCTGCTGCATCCTACTATGCTTTGCATTAGGAGAATGGTGATGTCATGTCCCTCATTTGGCCTTGTCCTCATCTCTGGCAAGCTTCATTCATCCCCTTGGCCTTCATCACCTTAGGAGGTGCAAGCTGAGAAATGGCAGCTCCTGTGACTGTTGTGCTTTCTGTGGAGCATGTGTCTGTGCTGTTAGGGGCTCTCTGCAGGGGCAGGAAGGGTCAATTCTTCTCTTGCAGGGCGTGCTTGACACTCATGTGAACTGTAAGAGGGTGGTCTACTTCAGCATGGTGGGGATTGGGACCCATTCTTCTGTGGGAGAAAGTCCTGCTTTCTGTGGTTTTATTTCCAGTGGGAAGAATGCAACCTCTGTACAGAAGCAGCCTAAGACCTTTTATGAATAGGACCCCTTGAATTATAACATTTCAGGGTTTCCTAAAGCTGTTAATCGGATTAGTTGTATAGTGGAGGAAGTACTTAATACATATATACAGGCACACAGGCTCTTCGTATCTGGGAGCTGCAGTTCAGATCATGCTATTAGGCCAGGCATTCTTCTTTCCCTGTGTTGTTCCCTTGTCCCCAGAAAATGAGATTTGGCTGGGAGGAGGGGTGAAAATTGTGCTATTGGGTGCTCTTTGCCTACTTATAGGCATACAGACTATTTGCTTGTGTGGAGCATCTGCAGCTGTCAGGCTCAGGAGGAGGGATGAAGTTACCATGTACTTATGGGTGATGGGGGGACATGGTTCTTCACTGGCTCCAACTGAAGATGATCCTCTTTAGAAAGAGGTCTGCCTTGGCTGGTGAGGGCTGAGACTGTCAGACATTTCAAGCTTTCCCATTCTTCACCTTCTTCCAGTCTCTGTCTAAGAAATATAGCTATGCCCTTCTCTAGGCCTGAGAGAGAAGCAAGTAGTCTCGTCTGAGGACTGTCTGGATTCTGCCACAGATCTCTGTGCTGAGCTTAATTGCACAGCATGAATGTGCTCCAGGATTGTTTTGTGTATTCATTTCCTGCTTGCAGAAATGCCATAATTGCTATTCAGACCCTCAGAATTTGTGAGCTTACTTGAAAGTGGGATCATTTGAAGTTTCCAAGCATTTTATAAGAAAATGTCACAGCTAGTGTTTTATTCCTGGTATCTGGGACTTGAGGCAATGTACCCAATACCATTGTTTTTCTGGTGAAGTCACAGAGCAGGCTCATGGTTCTTTCCCTCTGAGGGATGTTGGCTCATAGCTCTCTGGCAATCTCCTTGAAGACTGCTCATGTGGGGTTTATAGGAGTAGCTGTCTCCTTCGTACCCACCTTGGTACCTTGCTTCAGAGCTCCAGCAGTGATGTCCCTCTTCAGCTTTGCCTGGATGTCTGTGTCCAGTATGCCTGGATTCCTTTGTGTGAGTAGGGAACTGGCATTACCTAGGAAATCGAATCACTTGCATTATATGTTTAAAGTCTTTTGGAGTGCAGCACATGACCTGATAGTCCTTATTCATGTAAGCAGTGTTCTTTGCTACAAAAGAGCTTAGTTTCCAAGAATTTGTCAGGAAGAGCACAGGTTGAGCAGCTGAAAACTGCAGAAGGCTGTACCACAGCATCTTGTGTGCAAACACGTTTCTCTGGTGCATTTACAAAAGCATGATTTTCTTCAGACCCTGAGAGGCAAGCATGGTGGTGGTCTCCAGCTAAGTGTAGTCCTTTTAATCCAAGTGGTTTTTAGGTGTCTGTGTGTTGATCTCAGTTGAGTTGGTTAAAACTCTGAGCTGTGAGTTTGTGGAGAGCATTTGTACACAGTGCAGGGTAACTCTGAGCGAATGCCAGGAGACATGCTCTTCTAAGAGAGCCAAGAACTACCAACTAGTTAGTTTTCTTGTTTGGACACTTCCAGCATTTCCCTGAAAGTTGATTCTGAAGTGCTTTTCTCTTAGCAATTTGACATTATTCCAGTTATATGACTTCTGTGTTCCTTTCCACAGGTCGCTCAACCTCCCCTCGGCTTTACCTGAAGCTTAGTTTTACTCTAATTGGTGATCTGGTAGAAGAACTGTTTAAAGTGGCGTGTTTGACCTTTCTTTTAGTTGAGAAGATTTTTTTTCCTGGCTTACAAAATTGACAAAAAGCTTAGTTCTCCCTCCCCCATTGGCTGTTTGAACTTAGGACTTAGGTCCTAAGTTCAGCGAATTGTTTGTGATCTTTGTTTGCCAGTTTTTATATTATGAGAAACTCTGCAGGCCAAACTATGCCCTCCACCTCATCTATTCATCAGGCTATTACTGTCTGTACTGACATGTGAAAAATTGCCAAACAGGAAATTTCCTCGTCCCCCTTTTTAAAATGTTTTGCAGCTAGAAGAGTGGGCAAAAAGTAAAGGATGTTGTTAAAATGGACGCGTTACTTTGCATTTTAAATGTTTAAGGTGTTTCAGTTAGCTACCTCTCTGTTTCTGTGGACTCAAGTGTAGATGCCATGTCCACTATGGAAGTCAGTTGTTCTCATACAGTGGTGTTGAAATGGATACCCTTAGGATTTGGCCTTATACAGGTAGAGTAATGGTTCAGAACATAATGAAATGAAGCTGGTTCCTGGAGACCTGCCAGTGAGCACTATCCTCAGCAAGCCCGTGCTTCACCAGCTTCTAATCACTTTGATGAAAGATTTTTCAAAGAGCTTACAGTTCTGAAAAGTTTCTCACAGATTGATTTTTTTCTTGTCTTCTCACTTTAGTGAAAATATTTGCTTTTACAATATAGTTTTAGTTTAGAAGAAACTTGAGTCAAAGCTTTGAAAATTCCTCTGCTCCTGAGAACTCCCAGGTGGCTTTGAAATAGGAAACAAGAAGATCCACGTGCAGGCCATGGAAGTACAGTGTCACCTCTTCTTTGGACCCAGATGAGTTCACTGGTGCAAGGTGATTGTCTTTGCTTTATTGCTTTATCTGCTGAAGCATTAGCCACAGAGGAAGACGACCTTTTCTTTTCTTGCCATGCCTGTGGAAGGATGTGCCTATTTAATCCTAACGGGTTTCATTTAAATCTTTACAGGCAGTTTAGGGATTAAGAGGACTTTTTTGATATATTACCTCTTTTCCTGACTTTTGTATCACAGAGGCAGTTTCTAGTCCTGAAAGGCTCCTCTGAGAGTGAGAAAAGCAAGTTTGTCTCTCCTAGGTTTGGCACCAGCAGATCAGAAGACAGTGGGAGTCTGGCTGCCCTCGCTGACGCCGTGCTGTGCTGGACTTGCTGCTGAGGCACTGAATCTGCATCCTGCTGCTGCTGAGAATGCTTTTCAAGAACAGGCAATACAGGTTTTCTTTGCCTCTCATCCCAAGAGGTTTTTAGGCTCATGGCATGATGACCTCGATGAGGCTTTCACGCTGCCACAAATGAGTGGCAGGAAGGGTTTACAGAACATCTTTGCTAGCTAGAGTGAGTAATACTTCAAATAACAGTGCAGCTGGGATAGGGAT